AGACATACAAATAACATAATTTAAGTTTGATGAGTTTAACTGCAAAGCAGATAATGCTATTAGAAATTGAAATAAAGTAGAAAAACTTACTTTTTGGCATACAAATTACTTTTTTTCATGTTAAATTGTCTGTGTTTGACAAAATGTGCTGATTTTGTCTTTGGGCATGCACAGGATGAGTCACATCATTTGAAACTTAGCCCTGATTGGAGAAATTGGAAGTGTTACAACTGACTCACGTTACAACTATCCCCGGTCTCCCCTATGTGGAAAATTACTCTCTTAGCATGAATCTGACATGAGTGTTCTTTGCAGAGCGGATTGGTGATGCAGAAGTCCTGGCAGTCCATTCAGAGGCCGAAAGTGTTCAGGTTCCTTCACTTCAGGAGGGGGATAATGCATAGAGCTCAATAATCTTCCTAGAAACTAGCTATATTGTATTATTTCTGTGCTATGAGAAATGTAGCCTAATACCTAGTTAGCTTATCTTTATTTTCATTTGTTCATCAATAGGATTATATGCTGTAGATGTGATTGTGCGGTGTAATAATTGTGGATACTGTTATATAATTGCTTATTAGCTTTCAAAGGTATCATGGTTAGAAACTGATTGAAGCAACATTTAATAAATAATATATATATAAATTTAGTAATCTGAAGATTTGATCAGTTTTTCCTATTTTACTTTTCAAATAAAGCAATAAAAAGGAAATGTCTGTGTAAAGAATAACAATTATGTTTACTTTTGGCAGGGTGGCAAACCTCGATAAATGGAGATATAGCAGAAATTATCTTCTTCTTTTTGAAAAAAGTCAAAGAGCTTACCCTAGCTATCCTGATTTTATATATAAAACATATAAACATATAGGAGTGGCCAGACAAAATAATGTGAGTTTTAACTTATACTAAAAGCTTCAGTCTTATTTTAGCATCTTACTGTATATATTTCTACTGCAGCATGGAAGAGAATCAAGAGCAGAACAATGAAGACTGTTAGAGAAACAAACAATGAAAATCAAGCCAGAGTCAGGTTCTGCTTAACAGATGAAGTAAGAAACAAGCAACAGCTCATAAATAAATCAGTTCACTTGTGAAAAATAAAAGTACCTATTTGGTAAGTGTGCCTGTAATTTTATATATACCAAAATATTTATTGCTGCATTAATGTGCAAAGATCTGTTTACAACTACTCCTATGACTAAGTCATTATTATCATAATTTTAGCCCTTAATATATATTACGCTATATAATGTACTGCATTCCTTTTAAATTATCCGCTAATGTGTAGGCCAATACATTTAAGTGATATACAAAACTATCAACTGTTTTTATTTTATTTTTTTGCAGCAAAAAAAAAAAGGCAATCGAGTCATAAACTGGTCAACAAAAATTATGACATATAGATATGATAGTGAATACTCTTAACAGTTTATGCTATATAAGATTTTCTGTCCTGAACCAGCCTTTCTTCTATATCTCTTCTTTTAAAACTAACATAGATGCCATGCTTTTCCTTTTCAACCAAGGACTTTGAAGAAAGTGAATTTCAGAAGCTCTAAGAAGTCAGAGTTTTCACATTCACCATTGCAGCTCAGTGCCGCTGCTTTCTCTCTTCTTTGTGTCTACCAAACACTACATGCGCAAGAATATTGCCCCCTAAGGCATTATTGACGCTGTGTGGTGAATGCCTGCATTTTGTCATGTTTACAAGTTTTTGTGTGTAATGAAGCCCATTATAAAATCTTTCATAATGTTTTCTGAAACCATTAGCAACCAACAAAGTACTCCCTGTTGCCTTAATTTTGTTTTTCATCTGTTATAAACCTAACTGTAACAGCACAGGGAAAAAAACAACAACACAAAGTTAAGAAAAGAAGAAAATAGATCCCCCACCTGCAAAGCCTTTTTTTTATTTTTTAGTTTATGCAGCTAACAGATTAAATGTTTTCTCAATTTAGGTTTCATATTGCTTCCAGAATTACTTCAAAGATCAATTTGTGTAATTAAGTCACTCCGACATGTGATTTAACCTTTAATTTAATCCTCGGAGACAATGGCATTACTAACACCTTATCTGACCAGTGTGGACCAACCTAACAAAGTGGCTGATGAGTGTATGTCTATTTATATATTTAACAATAAGGAGCAGACAGTGTGTTCCAACCTTAGGGAGATCATAGTTATTGGAGTTTAGCCTGCCTGTTTGTCAAAACTGTGATTCAGGAATGAAAGTGTTACTTCCTTCATGATTGTGTTAAACTGGAAAAGCTCTTTACCCTCTCAAGGATGCTCTGGGGTAGGTGAGAATTAGCTCAACCATATGATGTATAGACTTCAAGAAGTCACCTTTGTGAGGATGATTCAAGAGTAGGAGGCATAGGGCGCATTACAGGTTTTTTTGTCCCTGTACGCCTGAAGTGAGAGTTTGGTCTTCAATAACAGCAATAACTCACATCTGTTACGAACTAACACTGGATTCCATCAGGACTGCCTTCGTTCAGAAATAAATTTTTGGAGGCAGCCAAGGGGCAGAAGAAAAATAATTGTGTTTTGCAAACACACCAGAGCAGTTTGCAGCTCAGTGTAAAGTCACAGTGATTAAAAACTCTTGATTAATAAGTAGTGACAATTTGATGGTCAAATAGTTCAAATAAAAACAAAAAACAAAGCAAAACCCCCCCTGCAGTTTCAGTACTAGTAGGTTAAAAAGACCAATTTTTAACCTACCTGTTACGGCCGGGCGGCCGGTGTGTTTGCAAAGTGGACACGGAAGAAAGAAAAACTAAGTGTAACACAAACCGAGCCATTTATTAGGCTGAATACAAGAAAAGAAAACAAGACAAGGCGAACAGGGGCATAACCAAAATTAAACTAAACTGGGGACAGCTAAACTAAACATAAAAACGAGAACATGAAACTGAACAGGTACATGTAAAACTTTAGCGTGAAGTAATCTAAACATGAACCTGAACAGCAGCTAAGAAAATCCTGAGACCTAAGGTCACATGAAGCAAGTTGGACAGATAAAGCAACACTGAACAGAGGGAGACAGAGGACTTAAATACACAGGATGGTAATGAGGGAAGTGGAAACACCGCTGATACAAATGAACCTGACACCACAGGGAAATAAAACTAAACACACTGAACATAGAAACACTAGACTCTTCAAAATGGGACTTTGACAAGACAACACAAGCTTGACAACATGGAACATGTAGACACGAATAAGACTACAGACTGGGGAGACACAAGGAGAGACACGAGACACGAGCAGTGACATAAATCTGCATCAACACTTTAAATTATGTAGCATGATGAGAATTTCTACTATTGCTAAACACAGACTCAAGGACACTTTTGCATGCTGTCAAAGTGATTTATTACACTGCTCATCTCTATAGAGTCTCTGACTATGCTCCAGAGGATGGTCACTTTCTGCTCCAAACCGAGTGCCACATTAAAATAAGGTTCAACAAATTCACAAGTAGATTAAAAGATCATTTATAATATTTTTATTATAAATTCCCAAAACAATTTGTAGATTTCTTTTTACAGAGTAAGTAAAAAAGCTGGCCAGCTGAAAGGGAGAAGTCAGTTCAGTCAACATCTGTATTACTGTACATTTTTCAGTAACCTGCCCTATAGTCATTGAGTTATATTTCAGTCTAAACCTGACTAAAAATCCTTAATGCCATTCCTGGGGCCAAGTCCCTGGCTGAATTTTTAGCCATATTGATCTTTTGCTACATATGATTGACAGCAGTAGGCTGGAGATTAAGTGCATGTTTAAATTCAAAAATAACAGCTGGGATATTTGCATTCTCTTTTTGGCAGGAAAAAAAAGGCTCTAACAAAATCCTGTACAATCATATTGCTTAAAAATTGCTAAAGTGGTATTTTATATAATACAATATACAATATAATATTTATATTGTACGAACGTGATAATGATGTATATTGTAATAATGTGATATTATGTTGTTCAAACGTGAAAAGTATATTGTTAGAACAATAAACTTTTTCTTCTATTTTTCTTTTGCCTGGGTGGCAGCTCTATGCTGGAAGCATGTAAATATAATAATAACCACTGCAGCCAAGAAGAGTGCCTGACGAGCCCAGTTGTAAGTAAGCTATTAAGACTCGACTGTACGCTGTGTTCGTGTTTTCCTCCGAAACAATAAGTTCCTTTGGAGCAGCCTTTCAACGCCTCTCTCTGTCTCTCGCTAGCAAAGTTGACCCAGACAACAAAGTAAAGCTAGTTTTCGGCTACAAGCCCGACACGAACCCGATATATTAGCCAGAGGTCCCTTTAGGGTTTTATGCCTTTACAGTTCGGAGCCGCTGACCTGTTTTATATACGCACGGAATAGTTTTCTATATGAGATCGCTGCAAAAAGTGCAGCCTTACCTAATGTCCACCCTACTGTCACTCATTTTATATTAAGATTTAAAAATGTAGTTGGTATTGCTATGGCGAATAACCTTCAGTAAAAGTAATAAATCACACAGCAATAGTACATTAATGTAGTTGTAAAAAGTATGATAGCATATTAAGTAGTCCAAAGTATTCAGAATACGTTACTCTCATTGAGTAACATAATGGAATACGTTACAAAATACATTTTGGGGCATGTATTCTGTAGTGGAATACACTCATTCCCCAGTGCAAATGGAAACACTGCAAAAGCGAACCAAATGTTCCTCAAGGTAAATGAAATGGTATGTTATATAGAATATGGTATATTCTTGAGTGGAACAGTCGGTTTATCTAATTTCAACCCATGTAAGCTGGTTTTCAGTTACTGAAGACAAAACTGAACAGAGTATCTCAAGGGAGGAACCGCAGTATTTGTTCCACATTTTAGTCACTGATTTCAAAGTATTTCAAAGTATTTTCCTCTTAAATTTGTTATAAATATTAGGAACAATTTTTCTGTTAAAAATTATTAGTTTGTCCAAATGTTTCGGAGCCTCTAAAAATGGAAGACAGTGTATAAAAACATTTGTAATTCCTAAAAAGTACATTTAAAACCTTTGTTAAACCCCTTATTAACGCTGGAAGTCGCACTTCGTTCGCAGCCTAATATTTTCAAAATCTTCTGCAGTGATGCACAATGGAAAAATGAAAGAGAAAAAAACCTAACTGTATATGAGTTTCATGAAAAGGAGACGTGTCTCTTTGTGGATGTATCCTGACTGAAACAGACCAGCCATAACCACGCAGAACAGTGGCTTCAAAATTATTTCAAAGCAATTCTAATGGGATCAAAAAAATGGAACACATGAATGTAAGAAGACACTCAGAAAGTCTAACTTCAGCTTCCTTTTATTGTATTAAAATTCGAGAGCTAGGAAAGTGTAACAAAGGCTTCAAAATAAACAGTGCAACTAATGTATGCATAAATCACTGCTATAAAGCCATACCAATATGTTGCCATAGTTACCACTGGTGAGTCTCGTTTTGTTCTTATCAAGCTTCTGTTTTTGTGCCATAATGTTCTGTTTTCTAAAATTTACCTTTGTTCTTCAATATGCATGACAAGACAAAAAATAGAAAAAACTAACAAAAAACCCTTTGACCTGAGGATTGAAAGTACTGGTTGGTTGGTAAGTACAGGTCTTATGTGCAGACTGACCATTTATGTATCTATCATGAAAATACCTGTGTAAAATAATAAACTGTGCCAAAAGAGACCTTTGAGCATCGCTTCATGGTCAAAAAGTATCTGAATGACATAGTTTTCTGGCATAGCACACAAATTGTGATGAAGGCCAATCTTGAAAACAAAGTTTTTGGATGTTTTCGGAGGTCATCCATGCAATTTACAACCACATACCTTACGTTTCTTCCCTGGCGGTGTGACTGCAGTTTGAGGTTGCTGGCCTGGTCAACGGCATTTACGTCATGAATCCTTCTCACAAGGACACCTGTTGGCTTGGAGCGATAAGAGGCAGCTGTTTACCGGTGCTCTATCAGCAACACTGCAAGGCAGCATTGAGAGGAGAGGGAGGCACTGGGCCTTCTGCCAAATATTTTACAGATATGAAAGCAATTCACTCACACACATCCACACAGAATCCACAGAGACCTCACCAGTGTAACTCATATCATAAGATGAGAGACAGATGCAGCCCCCCTCTAATATGAGATTTTGAAGTTTCCACTTTTTTCCAAATGCATTTGCTTTTAACTCTGTAGGAAACGGACATCTTTCTTATTAATTTTATTGTATTTTTAATAATTTTATTGTATTTTTAATTTTGCTAGTAGTTTTGATCTGTGTTGTTCAGCACTTTGGTCTGCCTGGTGTGTTCTTAAAGTGCTATACAAATAAACGATGATGGTGATGATGATTAAATGAAATAA